AGTTTAAACTTAGAATATCTCCGCCTAAATATAATATTTTAGAACTATAATTAATGACAACGTTATGATAGCTTAGAAAATCACTGCCTATGATGCCGTCATAATCTAAGTTGACGTCATCGTTGACGAGATATAATTGATAAGACAATATATTATCAGATAATATAAAATCCATTTCGAATGTGCCTAGAGTTACAGAACAAGATTCTGTGTTATTAATCCCTTTTATTTTGATTATTTTATGAGATAAATCAGGCGTCTTATTTATACTCGATTGCTTTATTAAACTTATGCTTGCGCCTGTATCTACGAGAAACGATAAGGGTTCCGTAGAGTAACTCGAATTTAAAATTATATGAGGCAACGATATTTTCTTAATATTTATAGTAGTTTCATAAATAGATAATGAGTTATTATCATCACAAGAATCAGTGTCATTTACGTTATTGGTTAACTTTTTACGATTATAAGTTATAGTAGGACTCAGCTTGTTAGAATTAGTAAAGGATTTAGGAGATTGAGGCTGAGATGTGACATCACTCGAGCTCATGTCTCGGGATGTAAATAGACTCTGAGGCTGTTCCTGCAGAGATGTATAAGATTTAGGATTACAAGATTTAGTAGATTTAGAAGATATAGAATTATTTTTCGTGTCATTCAATAGAAATTTTGATTTCGGCAGACACGGCACCGAAATCTTATTTAGTTTAAATTATTGTCGCGGGAATCGAACCCGGACTCTTGCGTAATATGCAACCTCGCGTCACTACTGGTAGTTGCACGCGGCGAATGATAGTCACGTTGCGCTGGGTTAGCGTTTTCGCGACGCTGCATGTTATACTGCCGCTTACGGCATTGTTCTAGCGTGTGACCTATATTCTTACAATAATTACATTTTACATTATTAGAATTATAAGGAACATGATAAGATCTGTGGAACTGAGATGTATTTTTGGGAGACTTTTTATGCTTATGATAACATTCAGATGAACTGTGCCCTGTTTTATTGCATATGGAGCACTGTTTAAAAGATTTGGTGAAACTAGATTTCGATAAATTAAATAATTTCTCCTCTTCAATAGCATGTTGTACCGCCTCATTTAACGTTGAGGGATTTCTACATCTGACTATATTCGATATTGAACTACATAACCCTAACATGAAAGTATTAAGAGCAAGGTCCTCCATGGCGGCAATCCTGCCAGGAAGCTCATTCCGATCCTTGCAACTATAATGTATATCAGATAAAATTCTAGTTAAAATAGTTTCTATCCTTAATGAATATTTAGTAACATCTTCATTATGTAATTGCTTACAATTTTGCAGATCGACAAGTAAATGTGTAGAGTGCTTTTTCTCGCCAAATGTACTCCTTAGAAATAATTTAATTTCGTTCCACGTAACAAAAGTTTTAAGGCTACACGCAACTTGGGCTTTGCCTTCTAGTTGCGAAATTATGAATTTACAAAGAACATTTTGCTGTTCTGGGGTAGCTAAAGACATAGCATTATCGCAGTTTGTAAGGAAAGCGGGAAGTGATTCCCTATCACCATTATAAGGTTTTATAAATTTAGTAAGGACTGAGAGGGTGATTTTTTCTGCCTTCTCGGTCGACCCAGATTCAGAGCTCTTAGTCATCTTAGCAAGTTCTGATTTTAAATCTGCCTCCATTAAAATAAGATATTATAAATGTTATAGAATTAAGTTACAATATGAATCTAATATAAGTTTATGTGTAAAATATTGTATAGGAAATAGAAATAGCACAAAAATAGTAAATAAAACTTTAGACACTCACAGAAACACTACGCTCACTTGCATTTTTCACAAAACACGTGGCTGGAGACTAGGGAAGGTCGCGCTACTTAGCGTGGGAGCTGGCGCGGCGGACAACGGCGCGGCGCGGTGACGATCACGTGGCGACACGTGGTTGGTAACCACGTTGTTGGAGTTACGGAGTGATGATGGATGTGGATGGTGTGGTGAGTTAGACCGGCTGGGCAGGTGCGGGCTCACGCTGCAGAGCGGAGACTGATCGTCGACCTTGCTGGAGAGGTACTCGGAGTTGGTGTGGTGGTGCGGGCTCACGCTACAGAGTGGAGGCTGACCGTCGACCTTGTGTTCTGCTATTAGTGGCTGATGCAGGCTCAGAAACGCGCTGAGGCTTACTGTCGATCAGTCCACTGTGACGATGACGCGATAGTAGCCTAGGGTTTGGATTCCAGGACTTCAACGGAAGCCACTTACGGAATCCCACTTCTGACACCAATTTGTTAGGCGGCCGGCGCTGATCGTCTTTTTAAAAAAAACCCAAAATTCCCGGATATGAATTTAATGATTTTTGATATACACAATTACACACGCGAACTCGAGTACCAAGTCCTGAGCTACCCGGATGGACCGTTCTTTCCCGTTGCCAAAGTCTAACTGCACTGTGGGAATTGATGGAATAATGTGAGGGCTGCGTTAATGCAACTCTGCAGTTTAATTCTATGGAAAATTACAGTTATACACGTTTTGTTGAATTAGCATTCTATGGTTACTAAGTCGGGTTATAACAGCTCGAAGAACGAGAACAAAGATATCTGGTGGTTCATTTCTTTGACGCACTATCCGCAAATAGAATGCTTTGTTCACTCATGTGTTCTTTATCTCCTATCACTCGGGTTCTTATGAGAGCGGCGTAAAAAAGCACCTTGCAGACCAAAAACGTAAGGATGGCTATTGCGGCGGGTGAAAATACTGGGCCCTCTATCTTCGCGTCTGGACTCCGCCGAACCGTCACTTAACAACAGGTGGGGTGGAGTAATTTGTAGGACTTTTTTATGTATAAGAAAAGGATTAATCCACTGACCAATGACCGTTGAGGTAGAAAGGCTTTCGAGTGGCAACAATGCACCGAAAGAGGTTCAGTAGACAAGCCTCCCACCAGGAGGACTGACGATCTAGTGAATGTCGCGGGAAGCCGATAGATGCGCGTGGTGCAGTGCATGCGATCGGTGTGTCAGCGGAAGGGGAGCGGTGTGGTGGTCACTAGGCCGCACACCTAACTCCTAGCGCGGGCCTACCCGCGCACATCTGCGGGGTCCAATACCCTGGGAGACCCCTGCCGTGGAGCCCCGGCTAGTCCGGGAGGCTGCTAGGTGCGAAAACGCGGAAGAATCCCTAAACGGGGATCCCATGGCTTTATACTAAGCAGCTTAGAGGGTATTCGCAGGGTTTTTTAGCGGATATTATGCCGTAAAGCGCCCGTAAGAGTTACGGGGTCCTCAGTGGGCAGTCACTAAACAGAGGTTTTGCCTGCGTTAGCAAAAAAAAGGACCGATCGGTGTGTGCATCCTTGGAAGAGGCCTATGATGGGTGGCCTATGTTTAACAGTTCGGCTCATATTATGATGATGATGACTTATTGATAACATGATCAGAGTTAACTGTTACTAAATGAAAATTAACTAAGACCACTTATCAGTCTCAAATCGAACTTTTGGACGAATGCATTGGTTATTGTGCTACTGAAACTATAACATTAATTCTGTAGTCTCAGAAACGTAACGGTAAATCTTTTTGTACTGGAACCTTGACAGACGTATCAATATTGAATGGTTTTATAGGCTTAAGCGCCATAATACAGGTAATAAAAATAGCCTAAAATAAATTAAAGTCCATACAAGTCCGCATTCGCCCCGACCCGAAAATATTTTTTAGTACAACACTTGGGATAACTTCTCAGAAGAAGTTTTCCGGAAACAAGAGTGACAGATTGCGAGAACTCCGCCCTTTACATTTTTGGAACCGTCCATTGAAAGGCTTTCACAATAGAAAGGGGAAAGCAATATCTAGGTATAATAACAGATCTCTAATAACAGAAACACCATAATGTTATTTGTCTCGGCTAACAGATAAGGGTCCAAGTAACAAATAAATTTAACAAATAACTGTATAAGCCGCGTCTCCAACAGCTGTTTGAGTCCTCCGTACTCACAGACAATGTCTGCGTCTGTACCCGTACCCCAATAAAGTTGGACTATAAATTAACACTTTGTGTGCCCTTATAGCAGAATTTAAGACTTAAAATAAATTTGATAACTTAATTAATCAATTTTATTTCATGTCCCATAGTTTATAAATTATAATTATATCCACTTACGTTTCGTAAAAAGTTTAATTCAATATTATTATTAACAAACATTTACTTACATCTGTCAATCATTATTCTAAATCGTGCTAAACATTGTATTATTTTCTATCAAGTTTTCAGACTACAAAAATTTAAATCAAATATAAATAAAGTTTGAAAAACAGCCAAAACAATACTATTGGTATATTTTGTTAGTCTATTGTGGAATGAGACTTTAAATCCAATCATAAGTTCGTGAAAGTTTTTCACTTAAGTTTGTCGACAATTAAAAATTGTAATTTAAAGGTATATTTCTGAGGAATATACTCGTACATATTGCTCCAAAAAATAATATTATGATAAGCTTGTCTTTTCTATATGTTAAAATGGTCGCAAAAAATAACATATAGACCAAAGTTATTATTCGCCCTTTGCCTCATCATCATCAGCCTATTAATGTCCTCACTGCTGGGGCACAGGCCTTCCTTAAGGATGGAATAGGGAGATTGGACCATAACCAACCACGCGGGCCCAGTGTGGATTGGCGGGTGTTAACGACTGCAGATGTAGCCTGGATCAACAGCTTGACGTACCTTCCGAAGCACGGAGGAGCTCAAGATAGTAAATTTTTGGTCACCCATCCAATGACCGACCAATGCGAAAGTTGCTTAACTTTAACGTTCGCAGCAGAACGCGCTAACCACTTGCGCCATCGAGCTCCCTTTGCCTACCCTGATCCAATCTCCTGTCCCGTAGAGCAGAACACAACGCCATCAAAACATTACATGATATTTCACTGTGACCTCCTGTTTCAAGACATTTCCCCGAACAGGATATAATTAGGTTTTTACTATTATTATTATTTGTCTTTTATTTATTTTCAGGTACCATAGTGGATTTCAAAATCAGTTCAAATATGTTTTACTTCACCAAAGTCCCGACAATGAATCCTTATCATACTTTGGCATTGGGGCCAGACGATTATTTCGGTAAGTTTAATTAGTAAATACAAATCAACATACAAAACAGTCATAATTGTTTGATTATCAAAATTTTAACATTAAATAATTTCATACCCACTTCTTGAATGGCTTTAGTCTTCCTAGTACATACTGCTGCTACCAAAGGACATTGGGCAAAAATGTATGGACGCTGCAACCACGTCCGCCACGGCTTAAACTACATTTGTTTGAAAGGTATTGTAGTCATGATCATCTGTGCCAAAGTGCAACAAATTCCATCCCGGGGGTCTTTAGTTATTTTAAGTTAAATATGTAGAAGTACTATAACGAACGAACATTAATGAAACAAGGGCATTAATTTACTTAGTTAGTTCGATCCTACATAGGCGGCTCAGGAATTATGGGAGTACTTCATGAGGTGCAAGGGTGCCCCCGTATGTTATTCTGCCGCGCTAGAGTAAATTCAAAAATCCCCGCATGGGTTGTCGTTTTTTTTTATTATTCTGTTCGTTATAGTAAATTGTCTTCTATGTAAAACGGAGCGACCACAGATTACACAAACTTGTCCACGCTTCGGAGAACACATAATTCTAGTTTATCCATACTAATTGACAAAACCGATAATCGTGTTCCAATATCCAAAGCGTGTTAGATAAAAATCAATCAAGTAGCAGGGTGTGCATAATCACAACGAAGTAAGACGAGTCGACTATTTGCAACTGCAAGTCCTTCAGCATTCGTAAACCGTTTTGAAATGTCTCAGTAAGAGCAAGTGCAGGATGGTCGGCAGGCTTTGTAGTATATCTGGTTGTATAGTACGATATGGCATATTATTTTGATTACTAATAATATAAAATGAAGGTATTATAAAATGAATCTATTCAGCTACTTAAATATGCCCATGTGTCTATCTATTGACTACCAAGATATTTTTTACGGTGTCATATCTTTTGACTCCCAGGATATTTATTTTCGGTGTCATAATAAAAAAGGCTAGCTTTTCATAGATCTATCGATTCATACTAATTACATTGTTGGCGGAGCTGGGTGCGTTTTGCCCACTGTCCAGAAAAAACAATTAATGAGCTTAATAATTACTTGAGGGTTGTAATCACAAACTGTTCCAAGATGTAAATTGAATGTTTTTTTTTAATAATACAATTAACGTGTTGTTCATAATTTGTGTTGCTAAAGGACAATGAGCAAAACACACCCAGCTCCGCCAACAATGTAATTAGTATGAATCGATAGATCTATGAAAAAACTAGCCTTTTTTATTATGACACCGTAAAAAATATCCTGGGAGTCAAAAGATATGACACCGTAAAAATATTCTGGTACCTAGTCAAAATATATGACACATGGGCATATTTAAGTAGCTAAATAAATTCATTGTATAGTGTCTTTATTTTATATTATTAGTAACCATAATAATATAAGCCTGCCGATCCAACCAGCGCTTGCACTTACTGAGCCACCTCAAAGCGGTTAACGGGGGTTGAAGGACTTGCAGTTGCAAATAGTGGAGTCGTCTTACTTCGTTGTGATTATGCGCTCCCTGTCACTTGATTGATTTTTATCTTACACGTGTTGGACATTGGAACACAATTATCGGTTTTGGCAAACTCTTAAACCTTGTGGAGTACTCCAATAATACCTGAGCCCCCTATGTAGTGTCGAACTAACTAAATTAATTCCCTTGTTTCGTTAGTGTTCGTTCGTCATAGTACTTGTACCTATTTAAATTAAAATAACTAAAGACCCCCGGGATGGAATTTGATGCGCTTTAGCACAAATGATCATGACTATAATACCTTTCAAACAAATGTAGTTTAAGCCGTGGCGGACGTGGGTGCAGCGTCCATACATTTTTGCCCAATGTCCTTTGTTAGTGACTTTCCAAATATAGTACCTACACGAAGTAGTAATAACAATTACTTTGCAAATAAGCTTCAATAAAGAGATGACACACAAATTAAGACACGATGATTTAAATGGCTTCATCATTAAATAAATTAGACAATGGCTATTCATACTAAACTACCTGTCATTTTAGGTTATAGTGTTGAGTCAGGTGTTTTCGAGGAGACCGGGATTATTTTAAACGTAGCGGGAGCGCCTCGTTCTGGCAAAGGATATGGACAGGTAAGTAAAATAAAACTTAATTAAAAAGACATTAACAATAAAACCATAGGTTTTAAGGTAAGTATATTATAATTTGATAAGATATTTATAGTTATGTTTTTATTTATTTTTAAGCATTTAACTGCTAGATGTTTAAATCTAAAGAAAAGTTTACTAGAAAAATATCCACGCGGACCAGGCAGCGGACGGGACTCGAACCCGCACCCTTCGCAATCCGGGCGAATGCACTGACCATTATGCTACCACGGCCCTATTAGCCGCGTCGAATTTTTCCTAGCCTTAAGCTGCAAGGCTTGTGGGTTACCTACAATGCGAAGAGATGGCGCTGCCTTGCAGCTTAAGGCTAGAAAAATTTCGACGCGGCCAATAGGGCCGTGGTAGCATAATGGTCAGTGCATTCGCCCGGATTGCGAAGGGTGCGGGTTCGAGTCCCGTCCGCTGCCTGGTCCGCGGAGATTTTTTTCAAGTAAACTTTTCTTTGAATTTAAAGATATTTATATTCTAGATTTGAAACCGTAACTATTTTTGTTACAATGCGCTGTCCGTGCGACTGCTCTATCTACTAATTAAACAACCGTGCTATATATATATATATAATAATAATAATAATAAATATTTCTGACACTCACACCAATTAGCCTAGCCCCAAAGTAAGCACTATAAGGCTTGTGTTATGGGATGCTAGGGTAACGGATAGAATACATATACTGTACATATATAAGTATATTTATATAAATACATATTAAACATCCATGACTGGAGTACAAATGCTCGTATTCATCACACAAACATCTGCCCCCACCGGGATTCGAACCCGGGACCTCTCGAGTCGGCGACAGCCATGAAACCCGGCGTACAAACCACTCGGCCACGGAGGTCGTCAAATATAATATATATATATTATATTCTCTAAAGCGATATGTGTGACGTTATCACACACACGTGTGGCACAATAAGTTTTATCACAGCCTATGATACTATTTACAAAATATGTAGTCTAATAGTTTCCCTTAAGTAGACCGAGAAAAAAAAACTATCAGGAATTCGACACGAACATTAGGTCTCCGTAGGATAATTGTTAAGTGCGTCCTCACGAATAGCGGAAGGTTCAAATCCCGTCTGATGCCTGGACCGAGTTGTTTTTTTTTCTACTATATCTAGCAGTCAAATGATTAAAATAAAAATGTCTTAAAGAGACAAATATACAGGCTGTAAAAAACCTATGACAAAGACTAAGAGTACGCATCCTGTACTCCCAAACAAGTAATATTACAAAATATTATACGTGGGAAACATAATAATATGTATTTTTTAGTTAAAAAAATTCAATTTTTATTTTAGTACCCAATGTATAGCGTGGCGCGCTACCTACTGTGGCGCTACGCAAACAATGTGCCTGTTTGTATGTGTGTGCGTGTGTGTAAGTGGGTCGACAAAAAAGTTTCTAAATAACGTTTTTGTAAAAATCTTGAAAAAGAAATTGTGATGATTTTTTTTTAAGTATTTAACTGCTAGATGTTTAAATCTAAAGAAAAGTTTACTAGAAAAAAAACCCACGTGGACCAGGCAGCGCAGCGCTGCCTTGCAGCTTAAGGCTAGGAAAATTTCGAGGCGGCTAATAGGGCTGTGGTAGCATAATGGTCAGTGCATTCGCCCGGATAGCGAAGGATGCGGGTTCGAGTCCCGTCCGCTGCCTGGTCCGCGTGGAATTTTTCTAGTAAACTTTTCTTTAGAAGAAATTGTGACTTTGACCTTCAATATCTCCATAACCATAAATTTCCCAGGTATGATCCAGAAGAAAAAAACGATCGTCATGATGTGGAAAATCCGTGGCCTTCGACTTCGTTAAAGGTTTTTTTACACCCTGTATAAACCAGATACTTTTCTAGGTTCTTCTATTCGAGCCTACCACCCGTGAAACGGATCCCTTGAAAATCAAGGCAAAGCTCATAGGACCCCAGTTGGGCTCATATTTTGGGGCAAGCCTCTGCGCCGTCGACATTGATGGAGACGGCTTAAGCGACCTTTTGGTCGGCGCACCGAATTACGCGAAACGCGACGGAATTATCAAGTACGACCAAGGGGCGGTGTTTGTCTACATGTCTAGGAAAGAGGTAACCCATTATCTAGTAGGACATAATAAAGCCATTAAATTTAACAATTGTTTTTAAAGATAAATAAATTTTATGTAAAAACTCGTGAATATAAGTTATTTAGGTACGGGATTGTTACCATGTACCTTGTTTTTAGCGAATTTCCGATATTTCGGCACTGTTGCTGCCGATCCGATACTGTAAGTGTTGTGTGTCGAGAACAGTTTCGAGTGAATAGTGAGAATGTGAACAGTGGTACGAGTAACGAACGCAATAAAAGACTTCGTTGGAGGGTAGACCGATATATCTGCCAATAACAGCCTACCCGCAATTACTTCAGATACTCCGTGATCATGGCGCTTGCAACAGTGCCGAAATATCGGAAACTCGCTAAAGACAAGGTACATGGTAACAATCCCGTAAATAACTTATATTACTATAATGTTAATGACCATGAAAGTTTAAAACAATAAACTCGTCAATGTATGTAAAAAAGAAAAAATAAAAAGCACAAATTACAGAAAGATGACACTTCCAACAGGGTTGCCAGAGGTGAATTGTCTATGACATTGCCCGTAAACATTTTGCACGACGTTAGGGTCGTAACATCTTCCCGCCTCGTTGAAATATTATTTCAACTCTTCTGACTCTGTTCTTCACCGGTGAAGAGGGAGCCTACACGGACCTAAGCTTTGCGGATGCAACCCCTATTTTTCATTTAGTGCGCTGCTGTAGCTGAGATACACATATATTCTTTAGACCATCTTCTCTAGAAATGTTCGTGAATCTGATCTAAACGTTGATCAACGCTTCAAAGTATGTACCTTTGCATCTTCTAAAGCTGGAGAAGGAAAGCAGTGATAGTATTTCCTAGAGGCTTTCCCATTATGTAATATCCGGGAGCCATTGGTAGGAAGTCATTGGAAGATGACAATAGGGGATACGGGGGTCGGCTGTTTAAAATAGCCTCTATTTCAGCAAACAAAGTTGTAAATTCTTCATACGTTAGATGAGAATTGCCAATAACGCATTTTGCATGGTATTTTGCTGATTTTAACCCGGCTTCCCAGATGCTGCAAGAAAGGAGCGTAGGCAGGAGAGAAAACAAGTTTTAATACTTTATCGATTTACAAAGTCAGATAGTGGTTCCGTATTAGTTTTTAAATATTTACTTACCTCCTTGGCGGCTGCGACAAAATTGCGACCGTTGTCACAAAATATTTCTAGTGGTTTTCCTCGACGCGCTATGAAACGCATAACGTCATTATAAAGCTTTCCTTTGATAAATCGCTAACACATTCCAAATGAGTGCATTTGTAACGCAAGCATATAAATACGCATAAGTAGGACTTGACTAAGCGTCTACCGCTTCCTCTACCATTTAAAATATTGAATGGTCCAGCAAAGTCTAATCTAACGGACAACATTTTTAAATTAGAAGTGGTTCGTTGTGATGGTAGATTGCCCATTTTAGGGTTTAAAGTTTTTACTCGGACCCACTTTTACCTGACACACCTAAACACATTAAGTGCCACACACGCACACGGGCCACACGCCACAGCCATAAACGCCGCCACGAGAAGCTAGAAGCGGCTACTAAAGTGGCTGAAGCGCGCGACAGCGGCCGACTAAGGTAAGGAAGAGAGGGGTGGGGAATCGCGCGAGTGACGTGTGGCGGCGTTTTGTATCGGCGCATTAAGTGGCCGGTGCGGGCCACAAGAAGCGAGCAACGATGATTTGTAGCGTGTGGCGGCCACCGGCGTACCGTGTGTGGCGAGTCCATATAAAATGTATGAAAACTACAAGAAATATATATGCCAGTGGCGGCATTTTGTGGTTGTTGTCGGTGGCCTTGTGCGGCGACACTAAGTCATACTAAACACCTGCCATTGATCGGCGGCCAAACGGTTTCACGTACAGTTCTAACAGTAATTGAGGACCCGCACAAAGATTTCGAAAAAGCTCCCGTTCAAAATTTTACTTAGTCAAATGGTAAGATGTATAAAGTAGAATTAGATGTTTTCTTTCATAGCTACAATGGGTAAATTTATCACTTTACTTTTCTCTTTCAACATCATCATCAACAGCCTATCCTAGTCCACTGCTGGACATAGGCCTCTCCAATTGCACGCTTCTGAGGTCGATCTTGGGCTACTCGCATCCAGCTCCTGCCAGCCACCTTGCGCAAATCGTCACTCCATCGTTTCCTCTTTCAAATTTGGTTAAATATTTTGTTAATGTCGCTTCCTGTTGATTGTATTTTTTTTAAGAAGCCAACTTGTAAAAATAAAAATAAAAGTCTTTAAAGGATCAGGATAATGAAACTGTTTCTTGTCTTACAGGATTTCCGTTTTGTCCTAAGTGAATCAGGCCATGTAATGGGATCACGGCAGAGCGGAGCTCGTTTCGGGACTACTATAGCAGACTTGGGAGACGTGGATAGCGACGGATTCAACGGTAAGTTAGCTGTTATCATCATCTGTTTATTCAATGTGTCAATTTTGAACTTCATGCTGAAGAGAAAGAGTTTCCTCCAGCATGTCTCACCCATTTGGGGATTCCACTCCTACAGAAACTTGATCGCTCAATAAGCTATTTGACAGAATGAAAAATAGTGTACCAATTGTTGGTATTTAATATGGATATTAGAAGCGATATTACTATACTGAAAGAACAAATAATTTATAATTATAATTTTTTTATTATTTTTAAAGCATGTAACTGCTTGATGTTTAAATCTAAAGAAAATATAACTAGAAAAAATTCCACGCGGACCAGGCGAATATTAAGAATAGCTAGAGGGAATTTCGACGCGGTCCGTGAGGGCCGCGGTAGCATAATTGGTCAGTGCATTCGCCCGGATTGCGAAGGGTGCGGGTTCGGGTCCCGTCTGCTGCCTGGTCCGCGTGGAATTTTTTCTAGTTATATTTTCTTTAAATAATTTATAACTTTTCTATAAAATCATTAATAGGCTAATCATGAAGCGAATTTGTTCTAGACGTAGTAATAGGAGCTCCTTGGGAAGACAATGGTGCCGGCGCCGTGTACATATACAGAGGCAGTGAGGACGGACTACGTGCTCAGTATACCCAGAGAATTCACGCGGAAGGTGCAAAGAGCTTTGGCATAGCGGTGTCTAAAGGTTACGACGTGGACAACAACGAATGCAATGGTAAGAGATCGTGTCAACCAACACTGAAATAAATTTATCCTTAAAACTAACTTAAAAAATGATCCTAGATACAGTATTACAAACGTAAAAGAGTTTAATACTATAAAGAAACACTCACTCAGTCCTTTTTGTAGTATTCGTGATATGAAATGTTATTCCAATGCAGAATAAATGCTAGTTATTAATGCTTTTTGTAAAACCACTAAACATCACTTAACTTCAACTTAAAGTTGGAAAATGTCCCGAATCAAATTTGATCTAGATCGGTTTAGCATTTTAAGCAAGAACACACAAACTGGCAGAGAAACAGACACACTTTAGCATTTAAAATATTAGTATGGATGTAAGCGCAGTTTACTACTAGAGTAAAAGTTAATCTACCGCTGCGGTACCCCAAGCACGAACAAGTAGGTAGTTCGCGACAAATATTCGTATCACCATCGTCAAAGTTTCATGTCTACCGGACATATGTCCGGTAGACATCCGGAACAAACAAGCATCTTACATAGAAACTTTGGGTAACGAGTGGTTCCCCCCATATTCGTTTCCCCCGAACTATTTTCTTTGACTAATACCTCAATTTCATCTGTTGCCTCGTCTACACATCGACGGTTGCGTCTGCAGACGTCGACAGATACATCAAAAGATGGATCACCACGAGCCGACCACACGTCTGATGACAACTATAGGTCAGGTCATTCAGTCTGCGTTCATACTCGACAGATGCAACTCATACGTACACATAAAAAAAGTTGAGATCGTAGCTGCCGGCGCAATTTATTTACTTGTACTTTTAACTACCACTTAGGGGCATGGCATCATAGTAGAATTATTAAAAGAAATAGAAAAGAAGAAGGTGCTGGCAATTTTTCGGTCCACACGTCTCACGACGCATCAGTAGTTCTGGAGTTGCGAATGAGAGTGAACGCATGCTTGCAACTATTTTTTGCTTGTCTGTTACTCTTGTTCGCCGAAATGGCTAGTATTATGAGCACTGACGAAACATTAAAATCCCTTGAGTTGTGTTCAAGCAGAAAACTACACGTGGAATCCGAAAAATAGCCAGTAGACACCACCTTCCTTTTTCTATTTCTTTTAAAAATATATAGTGCGATCCACCTCAAGAAGCAGTTAAAAGTACTTCATTATTAAATAATTGCGGTAGCAAATAATCTCAACATTTATTTTTTTAATGCTGCGTGCGAACGAGTTACGGCGGTCGCGAATGAACACAGACTGAATGACCTTCAGATGTCATCAGACGTGTGGTCGGCCCGTGCTGATCTAACTGCTGATGGATCTGGCGACGTGGACGCATCCACCAAATTGTAAAGGGGGCATAACTAGACTTGCAACGAATATTTGGTTACTATTCGGTATTCGGCCTATGCGGCTGCTTTTAATATATTCGGCCGAATACCGAATACTTAATTAATATATTTTGTCATAGAGAAATAATTGGTAAAATGAAAAATTTAAATCTATTGATTACGTATATATTCATGTTTTCATTTCTGCTATATCATCATTTAAGTAGTCATTGGTATCTACATAACACAAGATACATAATCATCTTCTGAATTGGAAAAATTGAGGTTCTGTGTATTTGAATTATTGTGGTAATCAAAATTTAGAAGGGTAAGGTTCTCATTTCTTTTATAATCATTTATTAAGTAGTCATTGGTACATAAAACAGGTACATAATTTAATTATTTTCTGTATTAAACAAGTTAACAGTTTTTAATTCATTCAGTCATGTGATAAATGGTTACATAATAGCAATAATTTAAAGTTTACCGGCCGTTTTTGGCCATATCTAAAAAGTTGGTTTTGTCATTTAGTCGCATTTTAGTTTGAGGACGGCAGATTAGAACAAAACAAAGGAGCGCGAAACAATCACGTCTGTACAAGTTTTTGGCTAGCGCCATCCAGCCGAATACTTTTGCTTAATATTCGGCTATTCGGTCAGGGGCCTCGCCGAATATTCGGTATTCGGTATACTGCCGAATATACTATTCGTTGCAAGTCTAGGTATAACAGATTGATGGCAGACGCATCTGCGGACGTTAAATACCTACCACATTCGAAGATCGCATTCTCAGATGCGCATCTGCCGACGTGGAGAGGAGTCGCAGTATTGTTTCGTTTTGTTTGCTTGGGGGTGGCGAGACGTGCGAGTCGAATGTTTCGGTACAGAGATCTGTGTATCCGCTCGGTAAAGAATATGTACCGAAACTACTCAGGAAGCTTTCATTTAATAACATGCACTGAGTAAATAATCTGTATAGATTCGGTACAGCAACAAAAACCAAAACGATACCGCACCGACACAATTCAAAAAATTCTAAATTCAATATCGTTTATTCAGTCTAGGCTGTTACAAGCACTTGTGAATGTCGAGAAGCTACGCCATCAGTTCGCAAATCTACGGCGGGAGACCTTGTACTGAGAAGAACCGGCAAGAAACTCAGCAAGGGCTGTTTTTTTCTCCCTGTATTAGGTACATACAGAGTCGTCAAATTGAAAAATGACTTCAATATGAGGTAACTCTTAAAGTCATTTTCCATTACAAATGCAAATAATATAAAGAATATGACTATATAAAAAACTGGTTTAACAAAGTTTAGGAATGCCGTGTTCTACTGTTTAGGCAAAAAAGAATAATAGTGGACGATTAAAGTTTAGTATAACGATTAATAGTACCCAATGAAGCAAGAGCAGACTCATCTCCGCTGGCAGCACCAGTTCCAATGAGGAAGAAGCCATAGTGTGATGAACCTGAACTTGTACGTTTCCTGTAAAACTCTGATATAATTGACGTACCTATTTAAAATATTCAAAAATTATCCTGTTTTTCTTCATAATAAACTTAAAATTGTTATATCCTCATTGCGCCGTATTAGTGTTGTTTTCCTGAAATTTCTCTTTTTATAAATTTTATCATGTTTAAGTACCTACCAAATATTTCAATGACTAATAAAATTAACCGGAATGGTATTGTTTAAATTAAACAAAGCATAATTTATAAATTTACACATTACAATGCAAAAGATAAAATAATCATGCATTAACCATTAATAGACATTGATAAATATATATATATATATATATATATATATATATATATGTTTCCATCGTTTGGTCCCTCTTGAGGACAGGCGCACTATGCTCGATATGACATTTCTCTACGACGTTTGCAATGGGAATATAGACTGCACTGAGCTTGCCTCTTCATTTTTAACACTACACACCGACTACCCGTACCAAACATACATCATCTTTCTTTTTCGCAATTCCTACATGTCGCACAAACTATGCACAAAACTCAGTTGCCTTTCGGTCGCAAAGTACATGCAATAAAAATTTCACGTCTGTTTACGGATATTTACTTGCAAAAGTAAAGCATCTTTTAAGAAACAACATTTAGGTCTGTTGGTTGATTGGTAATATACAAACAAAAATGAAACACTTACACATGTGTACATATATACATACAAATACACACACACACATACACATACACACACACACACACACACACACACACACATACACACACACACATACACACATAAAATAGCGCGCGTGCATTGCACATATCTCGCCTATGTTTGGTAGAGGGTTTTCTAAACCATTATGCTATAACTAAAAAATAAAATCCGTAATTGGCATTAAGATAATCTATTTTGTAAAACCTGTATTATATTAAGAAAATGCTGTGGATTTTGGTCTAGAATTAAATAAATAAAAATAAAATAAATAAATATCGCTTCGCTGTGCCTTACCACTCTTATCGTATCGTAATCCGGGAGAACGGTGTATTCTCCCGGATAAGAACAAAAAAGCAAGATACGGTACGCTTACACTAGCAGAAAATAAAAATATGCTCCAACTCAAGCTTTACTCGCACACGTACACTTCTGTAAATAAACATTCCATCGAGCGAGCGAGACAGAACATTACCCCTAGCACGAACCAAAATATCCAATTCGTATCGTTTGCGAGTACGAAATGTCAATGTCAATGTGTACTCATTTTAAGTTCTTGTCACGTCCGTTGTGGTGCTGCTGTTCAAGTTTCCATACAAAATTTGACAATGACATTTCGGACACGCAAACTATTCGAATTCGCAATCGCAAATCGCAAAATGTTAAAGTGTGATGGTAAACCAGAAGTTTGTTGTGTTTGAATTTCTGTGTGACCTTCTACTGAGAAGAACCGACAAGAAATCCAGCAAGGGCTTTTTTTCTCCCTGCATTATTATTTACAGAGTTGTCAAGTTGAAAATGCATAAAACAAAATATAATAATCAATTTTACGATCTTCTTTGTAGACATAGCTGTGGGCGCTCATAACAGCGGCACAGTGCATCTGTACCGGAGTGTGCCCACCATACAGGTGCTTTCATCAATTAAAGTTCCGGACGCTAAGGACATGAAGCAAAACGCTACCCACTTTAGCGCTCTGTTCTGCGTCACTGTGCCCAGGACAAGGTCGTCCACGGACTCTGAGATAGGTACCTATTAAAAATATAGTTAATCAGTATAAGTAAGATATTTTACTAGGATGCCCGCGACTTCGACTACCTGGTTTAATAGTCCCCCCCCCCTCCCCCTTTACTCTTTTAAGAGCCCTTTTACAAAATTGCACTGCTGCCGTGCTTATCGGCGCGTAGGTAGATTTGCACTAGTGTATATATTTCATTTTACGGGTGATGTTTAGAGTCTTATAATATAATTAATAATAAACTAATTATAATAATATATACATATTTCAGTAGTTCAATAATGGTAGATTAGCTTTATGAAAGTTTTTGATAGTAATTCTATTTAATTCAATGTCAAAATACGAGGTAAACCTGCATTAGTTTTTGGGAAAACTCATGGAGGTTAGATGTTTTTTTTGACAATTAATGAGATGGAAAATCAATATTCTAATACATTATGTTACAACGAAAACATATTTACGATGTCGTAGTAATTAATTTGATCTAATTTATTGAACATTATTGGGAGATTCAGGCGTTTGAAGTTGTGCATATAATCGTTTTTTCTGTAAACTAGCTGTAGTAGAACGATCAGTTCAAAAACAGGAAAACAGTATTTGCCAATATTCTACATTAACTTACAATAAAGAGAATAATTCTACTGTTAACTTTTATTGGAAATTGTCAAAATCTTTTCTAAGGGGGAAAATGCGCTCAAAATTTACGTTTTTTTGCAAAAAATGTGAAAGGGCTCTTAAGGATGTTTTCTAGAATGAAAACTATCCTATGTTATTTCCCAGTGCTCATACTATCTCAATCGGTTCAAACGTTTAATCGTGATAAAGTAACAGGTAGACCGACATACTTTCCATTTATAATATTAGTATACGGATATGACTATGAGTATCTATGGATTAATATAAAAAAAAACAAACTCTTAAAAGATAATAATTGAACGCACACGTTAAATCATTCGTATTCTACTCAACAAAGCCTTTAATTTGATACCTTTAATAAGGGCACAAAAACACTTGTCTTATGGCACAATTACATTTATTTTGGTCGTTAGCCCGTATTCGGGTACACGAAAGACATTACACGAATTCGGGTACCCGAAGCAATATTTACACTGGAATACGGTCTGGAAGATGGTATCACTAAATGTAACAGTTATGCAATAAAAAAATATTCTATTCTATTCTATTCTATTCTATTCTATTCTATTCTATTCTATTCTATTCTATTCTATTCTATTCTATTCTATTCTATTCTATTCTATTCTATTCTATTCTATTCTATTCTATTCTATTCTATTCTATTCTATTCTATTCTATTCTATTCTATTCTATTCTATTCTATTCTATTCTATTCTATTCTATTCTATTCTATTCTATTCTATTCTATTCTATTCTATTCTATTCTATTCTATTCTATTCTATTCTATTCTATTCTATTCTATTCTATTCTATTCTATTCTATTCTATTCTATTCTATTCTATTCTATTCTATTCTATTCTATTCTATTCTATTCTATTCTATTCTATTCTATTCTATTCTATTCTATTCTATTCTATTCTATTCTATTCTATTCTATTCTATTCTATTCTATTCTATTCTATTCTATTCTATTCTATTCTATTCTATTCTATTCTATTCTATTCTATTCTATTCTATTCTATTCTATTCTATTCTATTCTATTCTATTCTATTCTATTCTATTCTATTCTATTCTATTCTATTCTATTCTATTCTATTCTATTCTATTCTATTCTATTCTATTCTATTCTATTCTATTCTATTCTATTCTATTCTATTCTATTCTATTCTATTCTATTCTATTCTATTCTATTCTATTCTATTCTATTCTATTCTATTCTATTCTATTCTATTCTATTCTATTCTATTCTATTCTATTCTATTCTATTCTATTCTATTCTATTCTATTCTATTCTATTCTATTCTATTCTATTCTATTCTATTCTATTCTATTCTATTCTATTCTATTCTATTCTATTCTATTCTATTCTATTCTATTCTATTCTATTCTATTCTATTCTATTCTATTCTATTCTATTCTATTCTATTCTATTCTATTCTATTCTATTCTATTCTATTCTATTCTATTCTATTCTATTCTATTCTATTCTATTCTATTCTATTCTATTCTATTCTATTCTATTCTATTCTATTCTATTCTATTCTATTCTATTCTATTCTATTCTATTCCATTCTATTCCATTCCATTCTATTCCATTCTATTCTATTCTATCGAGTAAACAAAAAGAAATCTGCCCGAATACGGACGTACTCGACTCCGTTCATTTACAGTCATTTACCCGAATTTCATTAACACTCGTGTTCGGGCTAACTGCTAAGTGAAATTTCGTCAATACTCGCAAACACAATACAGGATTATGTAAAACAGTACACTGTTTGATAATGAAAATGTTAAATGCATGTTTTTTTTTTTCAAGAAATGAAAGCTACCATCTTGGTGGACCCCGAAGGTAACAGGGCTAACACACTCGGTGAAGCGGACTACGTTATCAAAGTGAGATCCGGCTTTGATACCTGCGACGAACAAATCATCGAAGTTAAGGTAAGTATTCTATACTACAGAGGGCTCATCATTTTTTAAGTTGATGGTCGAATGGTTTTTATGGATGACATTATTTACGAAAGGTTTTAAAGTAACATCGCATGATTGCAATGTAGATTAGAGTCAGCTTCGAAATTCATCGTGTACCAAGCAACATTAAAAATAAAACACAAATATCAAAAGTATCAAAAATAAAAATTAAGAAAAAGAAAAAGGTGTCCGTAATTAGGAATTGTGGTAGATTAAGACAATCAAGGTTTAGATAAAACTCCAATCTTAAAAAAAGTTGTTTTTTCCAGACAGTGGTGTCGATTCTAGCATGATTCTCTAAACCTAAACTTAAATTTGACAGCAGTATATCCTTGTCATTCTCTATACAGAATGAAAAGGAGAGACTGATGTTAAATTTAGTTTTAAGTTTAGAGAATCACGCCAGAATTGGCACCATTATATATTTCACTAAAAGTGTGGCTTTTAAATTTGAATGGAATTTCATTGCCTGACTTTCGTTTTTTATTGAGTTGCAATTGTTGGGTTTATCTCTAAAGTCTTACCAGAACGGTTAATAATATTTTTAATTAAACTTTAGTCCTTTCTCAATTATTCGTATGTGATCGTTTGAGGAACTTCATTTTTGAGAGCTTGCTTTTTTATTCAGTGAATGGAAAAGGAAAAGCTACGTTATTTAAATTTAACTGAATTTAATTGTTTTTTTTTTAATTTGAGATATAGGACTAAGTGCTTCAGGTGAGTCGCGACTGAGGTAGTACTTTGAACTGATTGCAAATTTTTAAAGACCCCTTTGAAAACTAAATCTTGACTTAACATATATCAACGAGAAAATATTAAATTAAAACCTAGGGTATTTAGATACTCTAAAGAGCCCGATGTTTGTCACGGTAGGCATTAGGGGTGATGACTATTTTTTTTTCTTCATTTATCAGGTAGAATATCAAAAAGTATTGGATACGTATTCTTTCTTTTTTCACATAATATAAACATTGCAGAGATATATTGATTTGAAAAGTCGCATGACGTCACGTTTTGGTACAATTTTCACTTAAAAGTGACGTCACGAGCCCCTACTCCCAAACTTTGACGCGCTATAACTTTGTCATTTTTTGGTTGATTGCCCAATGAAAAAATACGTGTCCATTATTTTTAGATCATCTAACTGACGGACTAAATAGAATTTCGTTTACTGTACCCCGTCATCGCCCCTTTTGTTTATAAATAAACTTGAATTTAAATGTATCCGAGTTGATAAGTTAACATGTTGCTGCTTATTTGCGTGTTGCATGCACATTGTCAAGTAATATTCTGATTCAAACTCCAATTCAATGCATTCAATCATTTATCTATGAGCAAATCATCGGCTAGAAAATTTGTTTACTGAATGGTAATAAGCAGCAAGGGATGCCTTTTTTATATTATGAAAATGAAAAAAAAATGAAAAATTAAAAAAATCTTTAATGCTTACAAGTTCCATATAAACATGTTGTTGAGTATTCCCTTTTAAGTATTGTACTTGTATTAGGGGATACTCGCTCTTTCGTCAATTTTTACATTGAACTTTAATATAACAATTATTGACATTAAAATTACATTCGAAAGAAAAATAGACAAGTTCTAATTTATCCCGCCCCCGTTGCATGAGCACCACAATTCACATTGTATCACGTGTCATATCGCGTCCAGCTGTCAAACTCCAAAGAATTTGACACCTGAGCGCGACAAAACACGCGTCACATATTATATCGCGGTCCTCATGCCAGGGGGGAAGGTATCATACAGTAACTATTTAAAGTATTAAACCATAAACCATTTAAAGGACTTAATTTCTTTACAATAGTAGCCAATTTTCAATATAATTATATAGTATAGCAGTATGTGTGTGTGTGTGTGTGTGTGTGTGTGTGTGTGTTTTTATGTATGTTTATTATCGCTGTTCATCATGAATACCGGGTTAGAATGTCTTCTAAATTATATATTACTAGCGGCCCGCCTTCGCTTTGCTTCCGTGTAGAACTGTAGTGTAGACTAATACAGTTTTTGTTCTCAGGCTTGTATTAAACACAATGAAGTTCATCTATGATTCTTCTTCTACCTGCATGCAGTCTCAGCCCGATCGGTTTAAAATTAACAAAGTTTCATACAAACTTTCATTTCCTATTTTATCCCCTTGGGGGTAGAATTGATCAATATCCTTAGCGGATGCCTACGTCATAACATCTACCTGCATGCCAAATTTCAGCCCGATCCGTCCGGTGGTTTGGGCTGTGCGTTGATAGATCACTATGTCAGTCAGTCACCTTTGAGTTTTATATATATATATATATATATATAAAAAACTCAAAGGTATATATATATATATATATATTTAAGCCACCCGATAGTAAGCGGTCACCGTATCCTATTAGATTCTTGCGATACAAAAATATCACGGTAGGAGATTGCTCCTACCCCGTGGACAGAAACAGAAACACAACACCACAACAAGGTAGTGTTATTTTACTGTGCTTTTCTCTAAAGTGGAGGTTACCTCCCCAGAGGGGCGCTTCAATTCGAGCGGCAAATCCTCTATGCCCTACCTCTTGGAAATGATAATATACGACCTATTGTATTGACACATTATTGACACATTGCAAGTCTATTAGCTATAACAGGTACCCTTTTCCCAAAACCTGCTATGTCTATTTGTGTATTATTGATAGACATTTAGTATGTTTTAGGATATTTTAGAATGAATATTAGAATCGTTCTCATTCCAGTTAAGAAAAATACCAAGGATTTGTAATACTCATCATCATACCTACTTTAGTTGCCTAAACACATACCTGTGTCTAACACAATTTCATTGAACCTATTTCAGAACCAATCGGATTTGTCGAAGCCTATCTTGCTGAAATTCAATTTGGAACCAGTAAATCGTATAGGTTAGTACATTTATTATTTATATTGTAATCTAATTTCTAACTTACTAGGATTTGATAGCTGTACAGAAACCATGTAGAACTGTAGCAATGAAAATATTAACCGCTAGTGTTTAGTGCTATTTGTCCAATTACTTAATCAAATAGTTAATAAATAAATGACGACCTCCGTGGCTTGTTTGTAGGCCGAGTTTCATGGTGTCGCCGACTCGAGAGGTCCCGGTTTCAAATCCCGGTGGGGGCAGATGTTTGTGTGATGAATACGAGCATTTGTACTCCAGTCATGGATGTTTGATGTATATTTCTGTATAAATATACTTATTTAAGTAGTGTATATGTATTCTATCCGTTACCCTAGCATCCCATAACACAAGCCTTACAGTGCTTACTTTGGGCTAGGCTAATTGGTCCGAGTGTTGGAAATATTTATTATTATTTATTTATTAATCGAAATAAAATCATTTAGTTTGATAACTTTGAATAACCATATAATACGAGTAACTAATATTATTATGTATTACTACAATAGAATAAATAGTCTCATATAAAATGTTAAAAATTAAATAAAATAGAGAGCTACAATTACCCCACTCACACTTGTGGAAGGGGCAAATGTAGCCATTTCAAAAAACTTGACTATGCTTAAGCGTAGAATAAATCAAATTAATGAAAAATTACTAACCGTTAATAATTACAAGAGACACAGTAAAACACCTTCCAATATTGCGTAAAAAAATACTGGAAATATATTTGACAGCGGTCTAATAGCTCTCACATGCGAAAAAATATAGAATAAAATAAAAGACTCTTTAATTAAAACAGTTCACGTGTTAATGCAATCATATATTTATATGTAGGTCGACAAAAGTAACTCTATAGAGGCAGATGTCACTTATTTTTTTTCCCATAACATTTTTATTCTTTTATTTACAATATGTCTCTTAACTAGGTTATTTTTATTCAAATTTGAACGTGTTTAATAATATACTGTCCGTGCTGGAGGCTGCTATTTGATACAGCCTGGGGCGCGGGCAGAAATCTGAAAGAGGAAGCATAGAAGGATAGTAAAGATAAAAGTAGGTATACAAGAAAATAGGCAGGTTGTAGTAATGAGTTATTTGAAACAGCTACATTTGCCCCCTAGCTAGAGTAGCCCCGAAAGACCTTAGTAGGTATAAAATAAAACGTTTACTTTTCCAAGTTAATAGTTTATTTTTTGAAGTCCACACATTCCATCCTTAGCTTGAAAGAATGCTCATGTGCACCTAGTTTTCTGTGAAATCGAGCATAATACTAGAAATAAATCGCCTCCCCATCGGAATTTGCGTGCGCACAGGAGCTGTTCAGTTTTCAATTCGCTTACAGATGATCTTGTAAAGTTTCCGAGAAAAATGGCCCGGGTCTCTGGGGACTCCATCCTGCATTCGTCCGTCTTGATACAGATGCTGAGCGACTGCGGCGACGACCTCGTGTGCACGCCGTGGTTGGAAATGACCGTGGAACCATTGGTGAGGTAGGTTTGAATTATCGTTATGGGCCTTTCACAACAGCATTTAATTTTTGATTTAAATAAACTACTGGTATCGTTTAATATATTTTTAAATAGTGATTTTGTACCACAAAATATGGACATCAGAAGATTATGACAAAATTGTGACTTACCAGGAGTATTTTTTAAAATTTTCATAGAATAAAGTATAGGTACAGTTCTGTTTATACCGAGTTATAAAAAAGAATTGAAGTGCCGAGTTATAAAAAAGAATTGAACTGGACAGGCTAACAAATTTATTTGCAAAGATTGTAAGTAGGTCTTAGATTTAATTTGAGCTGTGTGTACCTTCCCATAAATAAAATTAAGACTTTTCTTTAAAAACTTCAAAGAAATTTAAACCGCTTTGTCTATAATCTCCATAATTGTGATTAACGAATATGTTTGAAAAGACCATTAAAAGATTTAATTGTCCTTATTGCTCTAAAATCTCTCATCCTTCTCCACGGATACAATATCTCAGAACTGTATTAATCCAGGATTCAGTTTTATTCTAGACTACTAACGCTAGTCCAGAATTATTTAAAATTCTAATAAACGCGTAGTAACCCTTTGAAAATTTTATTTGTTTCTACTTAATGACATGTATCTACTTAACTTTATAATTGGAAAAGAATGAGAAATGGATATTTTGTTAAAAGTGCTTTAATTTTAACAGCCCATTCGTCCCAGGCGCGGACACAAAGCTCGGCTTAAAAATCACAGTCATCAACAAAGAGGAGCCTGCATACAGCGTGAAGCTAAGCGTGACTCTCCCGTGCCCCCCTCGAAGGTTACTAGAGTTATGTTCCCTACAAGATCTAGTCATGACATGCGATCTACCAGCGCCTCTGAAGAGAAACGAAACCGCAGTATGGGAGGTGGAACTAGAATATGCGTGGGACGGAACTGATGAGAAATTGAAGGTCACAGCGGAACTTCAAGACCCGCAGTACATGAGGAACGTCAGCGAGGGTCCGAAGGAACTAGTGATACCGATTGCGCCGAAGAGTAACTTCGTGTTGCGTGGGTGAGTTACTGGGTATATGTAGTTTGTCACAAAAATAAAAGGAAGAAAAACAGTCAATTTTGTCTCGCCGCACACGGGCCACACGCCACAGCCACAAACGCCGCCACGAGAAGCTAGAAGCGGCTATTAAAGTGGTTGAAGCGTGCGACAGCGGCCGACTGAGGTAAGGGATAGAGGGGTGGGGAATCGGGCGAGTGACGTGTGGCGGCGTTTTGTATCGGCGCATTAAGTAGCCGGTGCGGGCCACAAGAAGCGAGCAACGACGATTTGTAGCGTGTGGCGGCCATCGGCGTACCGTGTGTGGCGAGTCCATTTAAAATGTATGAAAACTACAAGGGTGGTCCGTGTGCGGCGACACTTAGATGTGTTCCAAATGTATCGGTCAAATTAAAAAACAGATTTTGTTGATAGAAGTGTCAATAACTTATTGTCTGGGTGACATAGATTTGACGACCTCCGTAGCCGAGTGGTTTGTACGCCGGGTTTCATGGTGTTGCCGACTCGAGAGGTCCCGGGTTCGAATCCCGGTGGGGGCAGATGTTTGTGTGATGAATACGAGCACTTGTACTCCAGTCAAGTATGTTATAATATGTATTTTCCATATTTATATATGTACAGTATATGCATTCTATCCGTTACCCTAGTTTCCCATAACACAAGCCTTACAGTGCTTACTTTGGGACTAGGCTAATTGGTGTGAGTGTTGGAAATATTTATTTATTATTATTATACTTACCTTTCCAATATTTGCATTTTTTTTACCAGAAATTAAGTATTTCTTTATACGATTACGGCAGTGCTTTTGTAGCAAGACTAGCATATAAGCATGCGTGCTTTAAATTACGTAACCTTTAAAATTGTTTGCTTAGAATTCCTTAGATAGAGCGTACGATCACAAGTAAATTTATGAAACTTAATATCTAAGTAATAAAGCTTATTTTTGTTTGCGAAAAATGTAACTTAAAATAAATAGTATACATATTCATGTCTGATTGAAAGTGATTAGTTTAATAATGCCTTTAAACATAACGCACATTTTAATTTTTTCTGTTTCCGTAGTCCTGACAAGGAACCCTTATAGTTTCGTCATGTCCCTACATATAACCTGGGGATGATGTTTTTTCATTATCTACCCTATCGTGTGGGGTATCGTGAATTGGACCTTTAAAATGACTTAGGAGTTTCCAAGACTATTTTTCGATTTAGGGATCCTTTTGCGAAATATTGAAACATAAAGTGTTAATTTTTGTAGGTTTCACTTCTATCACATTTGAACAACATATAGGTATGTCCGTTTTTTTAACACGTATATTTCTTTTTATTTGTAGAAAATCGCAACCTAATATAACCATCACGAGAGATGCGTTTGAGAAAAACACAGATGTTTTATTTACTCATTACTTTGAGGTAAGTCACACGTAGTTTACTAACTAAAGTAACAGGCAGCAACCACGCCATAATACTTAAGTAGGTACGTTGACGTAATTTCAAAGATCGCTTTATTCTATATTTTTTCTTGACATAATTCTTCGTGACAACTTTCAAAGCAGTTAAAACAAATAAGTATCATCCTATTATAATTCCGTTGGCTTAGTAATATAGTCTAAGATCCGAGCCTACACTTAGATTAAAACAAAAAGGGAAGATACGGCATTCGCGGCTCAAAGGTGAACGGCTTAAATTGTGGTCCACGACCATAATTTGCTTTAGTCACAATTTGACATTCAAACACGCTGCATACTGTACACTCAATATAACAATATTGCGTATATTCTGTGTTATGAAGATATAACAATGCCTTCGATGCTTTTATAAACAACACAAATAGTTCAAAATCAAATGCCCCGGCAACACTTTTCATTCGTAAAACATTTTTTTCTCAAAAATCACGGTTTGTCGTAAATATTATTTTCGTAATCGCCATTTTGTAAGCATGAAAAGGACAACAATACGCTGCGTTGAAGCGTATAGTTCTGTCTCGCTCGCTCGATTGATGTTTATATGTTTATTTACAGACGTGTGCATGGCGAGAGTTGCTTATGTAGTTGAGTCGGATCATTATTTTATTTGATGCTAGTATGAGCGTACCGTATCTACCCTTATTGTTTTAATCTAAGAGCCTACATCGACCTTCACCAAGCTGATAATAGAATGAAGCATATTTTATCATGAATTTAGTATATTAGAAAATATATTAAAAATGGATTACCTAAAAAATCCTGGACCGATTACATGTAATTAATTCAAATAAATATATTTTAACTGAATGTTGCAACATCAACATAATGTTGGGCAGCATTTGGGAAGCTACGTCAAGTCCTGACATCGCCGATCCCATCACAGTGCCTAAAGACAAAAGTCTTCAATCAGTGCGTCCTACCTGTGATCACATACGGAGCCGAGACGTGGACACTGTCGGTAAGGCTGGTCCACAGGTTCAAAGTCACTCAGCGTGCTATGGAAAGGGCTATGCTCGGCGTTTCTCTGATGGATCGTTTCAGAAATGAGGTAATCCGACAGAGAACCAGAGTTATCGACATGGCCCACCGGATTAGCTATTAAGTGGCACTGGGCTGGCCATATTTGCCGAAGAACCGATAACCGTTGGGGTAGACGAGTTCTGGGGTGGAGACCGCGTCTAGGCAAACGTAGTTTAGGACGTACTTAGGCAGGATGGAGTGACGATTTGCGCAAGGTGGCTGACAGGAGCTAGATGCGAGTAGCCCAAGATCGATCTGTGTGGCGTGCATTTGGAGATGCCTATGTCCAGCAGTGGACTAAAATGGGCTGTTGATGATGATGATGATGATGTAACATCAATATAATAAGAAAACGTTCTCGTGACAGTATTAACAGCCCTTGGAGTTTCCATTATTTCCCAGGGCGAAGTAGCTAACTACTGGGTTGCCAGGTATAAACAGGTATGTATATGCCGGTTACGTTACCTAACGGCTGCACATTCTATACGTTTTATACTTTAAATCAGGACAAATCTTATATTTATCTTGATGTTAATTTTTTTTTATTTAATCAAAAATATAGTTTTCCAGAAGGGTTTTTAGGCAACCCATTTTTAATAAATATTCTAATATAGTAATTCATGAAAAAATATGTTTCATTCTATTATTAGCTCGGTGAAGGTCGTTGTAGGTTCGGATCTTCTACTAAAAGGAGTCCGTGTGTCTGTCTGTCTGTAATACCCGCCATACACAGTACGAGAAATCGTTACGATCAGACTGTACAGTTCGAACGGAACAGTTTATACGATTTCGTTTAGTATAGGAAACTGTGCAGTTTTATAACATACACGCTACGATTTATCGTTACCGTTCGGACTGTACAGTCTAATCGTAACAATTTCTCGTAGTGTGTATGGCGGGTATAATAAGCAAACAGCCCGAAAGAAGAGTTTTTACAGATAACGCATTTATGGACATAGACCTAGAATGGTGATGGCTTATTTATATTTATTCTATTTTTATAGCGACAAATAACATATTTGTGGAGGACCTGGAGTTGAAAGAAAGATATATTTGTTCCACTAATTGTTAAGCTACTTTTTACCTACTTTAATTTTTTTTTAGATAACAAATGAAGGTCCATCAGATTTCTATCACGTGAAAGCCGTGGCATATCTTCCTGAAGAGGCTATTTTAACAGATTCTATAGAGGGAGCCACTTTAGAAGACAACGTTCTGAAGTTCAATGTCGAGAAGCTGAGGGCCAAGACTACGAATACTTATTTTTTACTTTTAAAATATGACATATATAAATTCGGTTAGTATTATTTTCTATTTGTGTTGTCCTTTTGTATCCATTATTCGTTTTAAAGTAAGTGTCGCCGCACACGGGCCACCGACCACAACCACAAAACGCCGCCACCGGCATATTTTTCGTAGTTTTCATACATTTTGTATGGACTTGCCACACACGGTACGCTGGTGGCCGCCACACGCTATAAATCGTCGTTGCTCGCTTCTTGTGGCCCGCACCGGCCACTTAATGCGCCGACACAAAACGCCGCCACACGTAACTCGCGCGATTCCCCACCCCTCTCTCCCTTACCTTAATCGGCCGCTGTCGCGCGCTTCAGCCACTTTGGTAGCCGCTTCTAGCTTCTTGTGGTGGCGTTTGTGGCTGTGGCGTGTGGCCCGTGTGCGGCGACACTAAGGGTTCAATATATTGGTTCTCACAAACAATGGTCTGTTTATCTGAAAACGACATTATACAATAATGTGGATACGTTTAAAGGCCGATGATAGTGATTGTTCTTACAACACTTAAGAAAGATAAAAATGTTTTTCATAATTATTATTTATTGTTTAAGGTAACCAACTGGAAGAGACATTAACTATGAACGTGACGTCGAAAGTGGACATTTACCTACAACACTACCACGCATCGGAAACCTACAACGCGTAAGTTATTTAATTATTATCAAAATATTAAAACACAGATGAAATAAAATGTACTTATGTATATTGTTTTAAACTTTCTTGGTCACTAACATTATAGTAATATAAGTTATTAACGGGATTGTTACAATGTACCTTGTTTTTAGCGGGTTTCCGATATTTCGGCACTGTTGCAAGCGCCATGATCACGGAGTAACTCAAATTATTACTTGTTACGCCGCCTATTCCGTGATCATAGCGCTTGCAACAGTGCCGAAATATCGGAAACTCGCTAAAAATAAGGTACATGGTAACAATCCCTTAATTAATTTATATTACAATAAAATGTACTTACTTACCTACTCTTTTTAAGTAAGTTTAGTTTTGTATATTATTTATTTATTTATTTTATTTTATTTGTACCCCACTGCTGGGGTACAGGCCTTCCCTATGGATGGAATAGGGAGATTGGGCGAGACCCACCACGCGTAGCCCAGTGCGAATTGGCGGGTGCTAACGACTACAGATGCAGCCGGGACCAAGGGCTTAACATGCCTTCCGAAGCATGGAGGAACTGGAGATAGAAAATTTTTGGTCACCCATCCAATGACCGACCACTGCGAAAGTTGCTTAACTTCAACGATCACAGCCGAACGCGCTAACCACCCTATTAGTAAATACTGGGAATTTTTATCACTTCCGGCGGCACCCCAATTATCCCTTGCATTCTATTCAGCATTATCTAAATTATGATACTTTGGGGAAATTTATGAGTTCCAAGAAGACCACAGTAAAATAACGCTACCTTTTGGTGGTGTTGAGTTTCTGCCAGTGAGTAAGGTTCCAGGGGGGGGGGAGGGTTCTTGGACGGATACGCCCAGGAGTCCCCTCCGCAGCGGATGGGGGGCGGTACGGAGGGCAGTAGGCAGAAGGAGACAGCGGAGAGGGCCCGCGAGGAGGATTCCCGGGCCGGCCCTCTCCGACGCCGACGGCGGGGTGGTAGGAGGCGGCGGTACGACCGCCTGATTCCACCCTAGTGAGGCTAGCGGACGGCGGACAGGGTGGTCCGTCGTCCGCATTGCACAGTCTCACCCGTCGACGGGGGATGCCTAGGTGCATACCCCTGACCGCCAGGAGGAGGAGGAACCCCTGCCGGGGGTAACGTGGAGAGTCACCAGGATCCCACGAAACCCGTTCCGGCAGGCGAGGAAACACTGTTGGGTTTTTAGTAGGTAGCCCCCCCCCCTCGTCCCGAGCAGCCGCTGAGCCAGTTTGGCTGAGCGGGTGGGCGGGATTTTGGGGGGGGGGGGAGGAGTCTCACATAACCCCGCCTCTCACCCAGGAGCGGGGTATGCATCAAGCATTTTCCCAACAAAAAAAAAAGGCTGTAGGCCGCGTACCCAGCCCCCACGCGCGGGCCTACCTGCGCACGTCTGCGGGGTCCCCGTAATACCGCGGGAGACACCGGCCGTGGATCCCCGGCGAGGCCGGGAAGCTGCTGGGGGCGGAGTCGTGGTAGAATCCCTGACGGGGACCCTGCGGCTCCGCACTAAGCAGTGTAGAGGTATTCGCAGGACTTTTTTAGCGGATATTATGCTGTAAAGCGCCCGTAAGAGTTGCGGTGTCCTCGGTGGGTAGCCACTGGGGGGTACGTAAGACTTGCGGGAGCCAGGTGTGAGGTCCGTTCGGCGGTGTACCTCTTAAAGGCGCCGTCGTCTGTAAAAAGATTTTTACCTGCGTTATAGAAAAAGAATAGGGCTCCACGGGGTAGGGGGTCAGGGTAGGCAACGTCTATAGGTTAGGGTTACATAATTAGATGGGTGACTAAAAACTTATTATCTCCAGCTCCTTCGTGCTTCGAAAGTCACGTTAAGCTGTTAGTTCCAGCTGCATCTGCAGTCATTAGTACCCACCAATCCGCACTGAGTCGCGTGGTAGGTCATAGCCCAATCTCCCTTCCCATCCATTGAGAAGGCCTGTGCTCCAGAAGTGGGGACATTAGGCTGATGATTACGAGAACATGAATCTTGGCTGATAACCTAAAGTCTCAGACAACAGAACAAAAGGCAGATAGAACACACGGAACACGCAAGTGCGACCACTAAAGCAAATACGAAGTCTTTCTGTCTTTGGGAACAGTTTTTACAATGTTTGAACAAGGCGGCACAGTTTTAATAAGAACTTAATATTCACGGGACGTATTCACAACACGATGCGTTGTAGTTAAAGGATCCCGGTCATATTTTAGTCCCGTTTTCGGTATTAAATGAAATGAATCCCGGGATTTTCGAGACTGATATATTTTTAAATATAATTCAATAAAAATATGCGTGAACGTTACTTTCATTTGACGTTTTCACTGCCATCTTGTTTACACAGCTGACTTCATTTATTTTTGCTAACGACCGGTACCGGATTATATGTAAAAAATCGCTTCACGTGTAAATACTGATATTTTTTGTTAATTGCCTGAACGCGCTTTTTCCGCCTCTTCCTATTTGTGCAACAAATTAAGAAGTATGCTTTCGGATGAGACTTTGGATGCATTGTTATTCCTTAGATTTTGTTTTCGTAGCTTAAATAAGTAATTTATAAAGTTTCTGGTCTATTTAATTTTAAATATGAGAACCTATAAACATTGATCTCTAAAGCAGTCTTTTATAGTATATCTAAACAAGTCTTAAGAAGTTGAGTTTTTTAAGTTTGTTGTAAAATAAAATAAACTAAGCAATTCTGTAAATAATTTATGAAATAGCTTCATAAATTATTTACAGAAGTGCGCAGTTTGGTTATTTTGTCAGAAGAAAGTATAATTTTGTTTTGTTTTCTAAAGATTTAAAAAGTTGATTCTGATATGTTTTACTATCTTTTTGTTACCACTTTCTATTACAAATACAATCCCGGGATTAGAAAAATCGACCGGGATCGAATCCTCTAGTTGTAGTATACTGAATTAATATTCACTTTTGTTCGTATTTGCTATGGTGCCACGCATTGCGTGTTCCGTGCGGTCCATCTAGCTTATTTTGTAATCTGAGTAATGATCTAAAATAATAATGTTATCTCCACGTTTCAATACAGATCTAGCAACGTGACCACTACGCTGTTTCTGGAACCAAAAACGCCGATCTGGCCTCTCATTGTAGGCTTGGTGGCGGGACTGTTACTGCTGGCTATAATCATACTAGCTCTATACAAGGTGAGTCGGTACTACATGATAATGACAGAGGCAGGGCATAGCGACGGCGATTTGACGACTTCCGTGGCCGAGTGGTTTGTACGCCGGGTTTCATGGTGTCGCCGACTCGAGAGGTCCCGGGTTCGAATCCCGGTGGGGGCAAATGTTTGTGTGATGAATATGAGCATTTGTACTCCAGTCATGGATGTAAAATATTTATTTCTATATAAACGTACAGTATATGTGTTCTGTCCGTTACCCTAGCTATTCCATAACACAAGCCTTACAGTGCTTACTTTGGGGCTAGGCTAATTGGTGTGAGTGTTGGAAATATTTATTTATTCATTATAGCGGATTTTCCGGTCGAGTTGGAGCGCCTATCTGGGGAAGTAACCTCCAGCTTACAGAAGATAAATTATGATGCTTTGGAGAAATTTATGAGTTCTGGATAAATTTACTTCTTCTTCTTCTTCTTCTTCATCGTCGTTTCCTCATGGCTGAGGGTCGTGACCTTTCAGGACAGCACATTTCACCAACGATCTCCAGACCGTTCTGTGTTCTGCAAGGCGGATGGACGCCTGCAAGTTGCCATTCGTAGTTTCTTTAACTATGTTCAACCACCGGGATGGAGACCTGCCCCTACTCCTCTTGCCTTCCACGTTTCCCACGACCAGCAGCTTTTCAAAATTATCCGGGCTTCTTCTAGCTACGTGACCGAAGTACATTGGATAAATTTACAGAAGACCACAATAAAATAACACTACCTTTTAATAGTGTTTTGTTTCTGTCGGTGAGTTAGGTTCCAGGGTTCCAAGGGATAGAGGATGGGGTCAGGGTACGCCATATGCTTATTTGCCACTGTTTTGACATAAAAATAGAAATTTTCCTAGCCTTAAGCTGCAAGGAAGCGCCATCTCTTCGCATTGTAGGTAACCCACAATGTCAAATTAATACTTTTTTCAACAATGCGAAGAGATGGCGCTGCCTTGCAGCTTAAGGCTAGGAAAATTTCGACGCGGCCAATAGGGCCGTGGTAGCATAATGGTCAGTGCATTCGCCCGGATTGCGAAGGGTGCGGGTTCGAGTCCCGTCCGCTGCCTGGTCCGCTTGGTTTTTTTTCTAGTAAACTTTTCTTTAGATTTAAACATCTAGCAGTTAAATGCTTAAAAATAAATAAAAAAAAAGACCAAAAACGTGATTTGACGTGACGTGACGTGATGAAAGAAGGGGGCTAAACAGTTGGTTCTGTAAAAAATGGTATAGTTTTAAGTTTTACTATGAGCCTTATTACCAAATTAAAGGAAACTTGTAAGAAAGTTCAAATTACGGCACGATTTGCTAATCAAAAACCACGATTTAAATAAAACTAGTTTTAACGGGTTAATGCACGAAATTTATTTATTTATTGACGTTTCGCAGCCTTTTCAGGTCTGCATCGTCAGAATAATGATTTTTTATTTACTTTGTCGAACTACCTCCGAAATACTTTTATTGAATTGAATTGGCGAAAGAAACTCAGAGAGGCTTTCTACCAGGCGTTTCGCCGGTTCTTCTCAGAAAGGTCTCCCAATTTTGAAACCGGTGGTAGTTTACGGTAGTTAGGGTCAAATAAATAACTCAAAATTACAAAAAAGAATTTTAAACGAAGTACTTTAATAACTAAATTAGCTAATAAATTCATACATAGACAATAAAGTTTTAAAAATCTTCCAATGAAATATCCGAACGCTCAATAAAAGTCTTTCGAAGGTAGCTCGACATAGTAATTAAAAAATCATTATTCTGACGATGCAATCCTGAAAAGGCTCCGAAACGTAAATGAATAAATTTCATGCATGAACCCCTTAAAACTAGTTTTATTTAATGAGTGATGTGCGTGAAAACCTTAAAAACAAATATGTTAACCACGATTTGTTAATTAAAAAATACGATTTCATTAATACGAAAAAACGTAATGTAACTTCAAATTTTAAACTGCCGTGTAAATTTGGTAAATAAAGCGTTCCAAATGATTTAAATGTTTCATATCATTTAGATTTGATATACAAACAACACTAACTTCAATTTAAATCCATTTGAACATTGAAAGGAAACAGAAATAAATAAAAAACGCGACCACGCACCATTTATCTACTGCATAAATATTTTCCTTGACACGAATCTCTAACTCTGTTACTAATAATAATATTTTTTATTTTCTCTAAATAAGACTTACATGACTGTGGTGGGCTGATACCTGAACTAGGAAAATTCCAGTATCCCAGGTTATCAACCCTCCACTCCAAACAAGGGTGAGAAAATTTATGAATTGTAGGTACTTACTGAAATATTTTATAAACAATCATGATGGGAAGTTTTGACACACACTATTCTTATAAAGAAGATAAATTCTAAATAAATAATACATTTAGGACATTTATACTTAAGATTGCAATGCCGATGCAGATTTTAATATTTTTTCTGTTGCAAGATAATCAAAAGATTTTATTTTTTCTTTTAGAGTTGTCTTTAAACCAGCTTTATTCATTTCAAGTATTCGGGATATATCATCAAAATACCTATAGAGAAACGGCCCAGTATATCACATCTGTCGTCGAGCAAATATTGAATTAGACACTACTACCTAAGAAATTTGTTATTAATTATTCACAACTCCTTGATAAAGTCTTATAACACACGTAACATGTTGAAAATTACATACTCCGCTGAAAACTAAGCACTTATGCCTACGGATCGAGCCTAATATCAATCCTAATGTAATTTTCAAGTAGACTCACATTTATTAAAATAACCTATTTAGAATAAAATAGAATAGAATATAATTTTATAAACCCTCATATTACAGATATTACACATTTACAGATACAAATTAAAAAAAAACTCAGGGCTAACCGGGACCCTGCCTCAGCATTAGCTGATGCGACATTGTGTCGCACAAAAAAAAGACATGTAAAAAAAAATATTTCTTGAAAGGATGTATGGACTTAACATCCTTTGCTTTCAAGTAACAAAAAAAATATTTTATTATATTTCGATATGATATCTTCACAGTGATATGATTTTGACGTAGCGCAAATTGTATACGAGGGGCTTCGATCAGCAATACTACTAAAAGTTCGCGGAACGGAGGGAAAGAGTGTTGAAATTAAACATGATATTTATTTTCCTTTTCAATATATTCTCCCTTAAGCCTGATACATTTGTCAAATCTTTTAAATAACTTATTTATATCTTCTTACTTTGGGACTTGGCTAAATGGTGTGATTGTTACTAATATACTTATATTAAAATTTTCATGTTTTCAGTTCGGCTTCTTCTCGAGAAAGAAGAAAGAAGAGTTGAAACATCTCCTCTCTTCGCAGGAAGACCCCTCTTCTTCCAGTAGCCCTTCTACCAACGACCCGAACGTATCAAGTCAAGAACTGCTGGATTCCGACACAGATTGACCCGATGATGAATAACTCAATGAATAAATACTAAGAAAAAAGAGAATATTTAAGACTGACTGATGTAAACGGTTAACTTCTTGTCATCATAATATTTTTATTTTTAAGCATTTAACTGCTAGATGTTTAAATCTAAAGAAAATTTTACTAGAAAAAATTGCACGCCGACCTAGCAGCCGACGGGATTTGAACCCACACCCTTCGCTATCCGGGCGAATGCACTGACCCTGACCATTATGCTGCCGCGATCCTGATGGCCGTATAGAATTTTCTCTAGCATTTCCTTTGGCTGCAAGGCAGCGCCCTCTCTTCGTATTGCCAGTTGATCACTGCATTCGCCCGGATAGCGAAGGGTGCGGGTTCGAGTCACCTCTGCTGCCTGGTCTGCGTGAATTTTTTTCTAGTATAAAATATTCTTGTTGATTTTAATAATGGATATTACATATTATACTGGATTTTGCTGCATTTCCACCTAGTGCTGAAAATAACACCGAGCGATCAAGCATTCGTTTGCTCGGTAAATGGAATGCTCAAAACAACGTTGCGTTGTTTTGAGCATTCCTAACCTAGCAAAAGAGCATTCGTTCTTGTGTCCAGTTAAACATTGTTGTACGAATTCGATTCATCTATCAAACGACAGAAGATTCCCAATTTCAAATCTTTAAAAATAATGACATTACATTTTTGATATAACCGCTAGCCGTAGGCATTACATTAACAAAGAGTTTACCCAAACAAGGAGGCTGTAACGCAACGGACGTTACAGTAGCTTTAATTTTTATTGGAAGACCTGTATAACAGAAGTGAGGACGTTTAATAATGATGAAATGTGGTTAATGTGATATTCTTCATAGCAAAACTGGTCTCAATATCTAATACGAAAATGCAGTCACCAAATATGCACCAAATTTTAGTAATAACGAAATGGATTGATATTTTAGCTTTTCAAAATATGTGTTATGAAATATTTTCAACACTAGTCATAAAATAGTGTAAGGTAAAGAAAGAGATGTAAATTATTTTATTTTCTGAAACAAATGCTGTTGCTTGATTAATAAAGGATTGAATAACTGTTACACATCATTAAATAAAACTAGTTTTAACAGGTTAATGCACGAAACTTTATTTATTTATTGACGTTTCGCAGCCTTTTCAGGACTGCATCGTCAGAATAAATGTTACACACCATATTAAGTAATTAAAATTCTTTGTATATTTTATTTAATAATCTAAATAAGATTGTTCAATCTCATTAAGATAAAATGCATTTCTAATGAATCTTTTCGTATTAAAGGTCAAGGTCCAAGGTCTCCTACCTTGGATTTCTGCCCAATTTTGTAATTTCGTACAAATTATAGCAAAACAATAAAAAGACTAGCTCATCAAAATCTCAATAAATTCATTTAAATTGGTGAAAATCTGAATTAATATATCTTGAAAAAGGACAATCTACGCATAAATTACCATTATTAACTAGACGCATGTTAACATTGACTGACAGTTGACACATTACTATTGGTTAAAATTCATTTCCTTTATTGTACTTAGTTGTATCAAAAATCACGAGACTGTTTTGTCATAGCCAATCTCACTGCCATAGCCATCTATGACATTGACTTTTAATATCCTTGGTACTCGGCCTTTTAGCCAACACTCAGTTGTTTTATACACTTTTTATTTTGCTGAGATTGCAATATAATTATCTTAAATAAAACTAGTTTTTAACGGGTTAATACACGAAACTTTATTAATTTATTGGCGTTTCGCAGCCTTTTCAGGTCTGCATCGTCAGAATAATATTTTGTTATTTAATTTTGTCGAGCTACCTTCGAAAGCGTTCGGTTATTTCATTGGAAGATATAAAAAAAAATTAAAAGCCTTCCAATTAAATAACCGAACGCTCAATAAAAGTCTTTCGAAGGTAGCTCGACAAAATTAAATAAAAAATCATTATTCTGCCGAAAAGGCTGCGAAACGTCAATAAATAAATAAAGTTTCGTGCATGAACCCGTTAAAACTAGTTTTATTTAATGAGTGATGTGCGTGAAAGCTAAGAAACAAATATAATTATGTTATATTGATATATTCGAGCTTTTGTTGATCAGGTACATTTTTTATGATTTCCGTTGCTTATTTAAAAAAAGATGCACTGTGTGTGATATATTATCTGTGTTGCCATTAATTTAAATGTTTAAGCGGAATTTTTATGTGGTGCAAGTGTTTAATAAATTATAAAATTAATAAACTCGGCGTAATTTCCTACATAAAAATGCATCATAATAATTAAGGTATAAGATTGGGCAGAGTTGTATGGAGAAAATAATGGATCTTTTAGAAGATTTATATAAAAATAAGTTCTTATTTATTGCATAACGATGTCTGTATTCTAAAATAATAAGAAGTACCTAACATACTAGAATTAATGAAATACCTAGTTACTTACCTACTTTTTTATATTTTGTGTATATTTTTGGATAAATAAAAAGTAGAATATAAACTATACGCAACTGAAGTATTCTTTGATTTTCAAGAATTCCTTCCTTAAAAAAAGTTAAACTGTACCCCTAGCACGAACCAATATCGAATTTGTATCGTTTGCGAGTCCGAAATGTCATTGTCAAATGTGTACTGATTTTTAGTTCTCGTTAGTCGTCGTTCAAGTTTCCATACAAAATTTGACATTGACATTTCGATTTGCAAACTATTCGAATTTAATAATGGTTCGTGCTAGGGGTACTGTTGGGAACAAAAAAGTACCTTTAGTAGTTACCAAGTAATAACTAGCGCTTAGTTCAGAAAGGTATATTAGTTTTTGGGCTAAAAATATTTTATGAACCCTTTTTTAATTCTTTTCTTTCAGTAAAACTACACATGATATCTGATATTTGCATGTCACAATAATAAAATCTGCTATTTTAGGCCTTCAGTGATTTGTTATAATAAAAATTAAGACCAAATATGTCATAGTTTTAAGAACTTTGGAATTAATATTGTTTATTTCAATATACTTACACAAATATTTTTGTTCATTTATTTTAGTAAAACGGAATATTTTCCTTTTGAAACAGACATGAAGTCAATTTTCATACTTTTAAATATTTGATTATTTCACAAAAGTGGCATGAGAATAATAAACACGTGATAATTAATAATAAAATATTATAATGTTACCGGCTAGTGCGAAATAATTATACACGTTAAGGGCAGTTTCTTAGCCATGTCCTTTGGATGCAAGTAGATGTTATGACGTAGGCATCCGCTAAGAAAGGATTATGATTAATTCTTTCCCGAAGCGAAGCGAGGGCGGGCCACTAGTAAATAATAATTTCCTTTTTGTTCACTGCAATAACCCAGCCTCCATACAAAAATATAACATATCCTTATTCAGTATAGTTAATTATACGCGAGATTCATTCATTTAGTGGGAACGCTGCAATATTAAATTGCATGCCAGGTTCTTATCAACGAGTAACTGGGTTATGGCGACTGTTATATTCAGCTTTATATTAATGTACCAACTTCCAGCGTTGCCAAAACGGATGAGGCTAGCGAACGTGTGTGCCCTTCCGTAAATTCATATCTTCACTAGCTTGTTCCCGAGCCTTCGGCTGTGTTGGATCCATACCTACTAATATTATAAATGTGAAATCTGGTATGTTTTTATCTTAGTGTTTACAAGTAAACTTTTTATTTATAATATGAAAATAATTACATAATTACTCTATATATAAACACTAGAGCAATAAAACTAAAACTAAAAACCTTAAAAAATAAAATTAATAACTAAAATATATTATTAAAAGGAGTCCCTTTAGGCAAGGATCCGAAGATACTGGCAGCGTTACTCCTTTGAATAGCCATTCAAAGGAGTAACGCTGACTAATTCTTTGTCCGAGGTAGCTGCCAGCTCTTCGGTCTCCTGTGGTGTCGACTAACCTTTTTGCTATTTCCTTAAATAGCCTTAAAGCGCTAGGACCCCACGGACCAAGGGTCTCGACACCGAATGGGACAAAATCATATTCGGAGCCTAGACCCCTGTATTTGCTTGCTTTTGCTTTTTCAGTCGCTTCACAAGCCGCCCCAGCTCTGTTGTTGGTTCCATGTAGATGGGAAGGGGCCAGCGGGTCTGAACAGGTTGCATCCCATACCAGCACCCGAAATGTGAAATTGTGTCTGTAATTTACCTCGTTTCCTCGTGATCCTACTAATTTGTCCCACCAGTGGGACTACGGGGAAGCCCTACATTTTTTTCCAAGCAGACCAAGTCCCGGGCACTCACTAGTAATAATAAGTATATTTTAATTTTGGCCCACTACTTTTCATTTTATACCCAGTATAAAAAACGTTGCCTTTTTGGCGTGTGTACCCGCAAACCACGAAACGAATTCCGATGTGGTCTCCCCCTCTTCCCCGATCCTGAAAGTCCTTCAGTTTCTCAGTCTCAAACACAATTACATCAGAGTGCACCCCTCCCAGCATACTTGCACACTAGTTTAGCACTAGGCAGACACCGCACCCGTAGGATAAGAGTACGAAGACCCGGTCTACACGACACGCTATACCAGGTACAGGTTCGTACCTGGAGGTCTACTCTATTTCAACGAAAAACGAAAATTCGATCGAAATTTCGCACGTTCCTTACTCTGTTTCGAAAATTCGATCGTCCGAAAATAGTTTGACATTTAAATTCTCCAAGCCTACTCTAATTCACAAAACTTTCGAACTAAAAGTTGAATTTGACAAATAATTATTCGAAATTTTAACCTTAAATTGACGAAATGAAAAGTGTTACATTTTCGTTTTGGGATTTTTGTTTAAATTAAACCTAAAATTACAACTAGAGTATTTTTAATTAAAGCTGCTTAGCGTGAGGAACATTATTTAGTATGAAAAATTTACAAATAAATCAAATTTTTGTTTAATAATGTATTGCCAATACTTCAAATGCTCGATGGCGCAAGTGGTTAGCGCGTTCCGCAGCGATCGTTGAATTTAAGCAACTTTCGCAGTGGTCGGTCATTGGATGGGTGACCATAATTTACTATCTTGAGCTCCTCCGTGCTTCGGAAGGCACGTTAAGCCGTTGGTCCCGGCTGCATCTGCAGTCGTTAGCACCCACCAACCCGCACTGGGCCCGCGTGGTGGGTCATGGCCCAATCTCCCTATTCCATCCATAGGGAAGCCTGTGCCCCAGCAGTGGGGACATTAATAGGCTGATGATGATGAATACTTCAAAGTGTTACACGACAAATTTAGGTTGACATACATTCGATTGCATAAACTTTACAAATTAGTCGGCTAACACTGTCAAAAGAGGTTGTTTTAATGTAATCAAAAATTTTGTCATAAATTAATATTGTTTTGAAGGAAAAAACGTTATCTAAAAAGTGTCGACAAAAAGAACTCACAAACATAACTCATTCCATTCGTTCACGATAATTGTCTGTGATTCCGAACTTTATGTGCGTGTTCGAAGATGAAATAGAGTAGAGTCAGTGGTGAAATTTTGTTTAAAATTCGTTCGTTGCCGAAATTTCGTTTCGGAGAAAGAGAGTAGAGCTCCTGGGCATTTTTCCCCGCTCCCCACGACAGCGGCTAACTAGAGCTGAGGTCCGAGTTTCAGAGACGCCCTCTAGTACCTCGTGTCAGATGAAGCCTGTAAGTTCCTTAAAGCCATAGGCGTCCCTTCTCGGGTTCGTTTTAGTCAGTAAGAGTCTGACATAACCTTGCAGCCGGCTGTAGGGTATCCATGAGGATTTCACACCGCCTGAGAGGAAACAAAGATGTGCTTTTAAGTATCATTTACATGATTTTTCATGGAAGATTTATTGTGATACAAACTCGAAAGAAAAATTATAAAAAAACGAGCGAGCCTTACAGTAGTCGCGTATGATGTGTAACATTTGAAACCTCACCTTAAATTAGTAAAAAAAGAAATAAAACCTACTACAAAAGGAATAAGCCATTTGAACATTATGTTCTAAAATCAAATCACATAGCGCGCGCTTTCGCGATTTCCTGTTACACACTTGCTTCCCATTTCACGAAATCACTCCCACAAATTGCAAGAAAGCGAGAGTAAAGATGAACACATCAGAAAAAGCGTGTGCGTCACCGGACATACGGGAGCCTGCCTACCGCTGCCGTATGCGTGAAAGGAAAGGAAAACAGACTGACTGACACCGTAACGCGTTACGTAACGAAGCGTTTTACCCTCCCATAAGAACTCAATAAATGTATATACATATATAGAAGCTGATATATACAGGGCGTCCCACGGGTACCTCACACGGAGGGAAAGTATATTAAATTATGAAGATAGGATATTTTACCGAAAGAAGACATCATTTTATTTTTAGTTATAACTTTCACAGTCGTTAAATTTCGAAAAAAAAAACTACATTTTTTATGATAACCATCGAAAGAGTTAATCATAACAATTATTTTTTGGTAAATAACATAGCATTTTAAATGAAAGAAAAGTCATAAAATTACACATTTTATTAAAAATATTCAACAAAAAGTAATAAAAAACGAAATGTATCAAATGTTCAAAATGTGATCCGATTTGTTGTATGCAAATTCTCACTCTATTAATGTTTTCTCTGCCTGTCGATTTCATTATCTTTGCGTGGTGAATGTTTGTAATAATACGTCTGATTTATTTTGTAACACCTGCACACTGTCTTACCGGTTCTTGTATACTACATTCACAAAAAAGTCCAGTGGGGTTAGATCTGGGAATGTCGCTGGCCATCTTATTTGTCCATAAGAACCTATCCAGGAAGGAAAGTGTTCATTAAGAAACTCGGCAGTTCTCCTACTCTTATGAGTCCCATTTTGCTGGAAAATGAGATTTCGTCGATTTGCATCAGGAAGATTATGGATCTCACCTCTTAAAATATTAAGTATTTCTAGATATCTTTCCGTATTTAGATTCCATTTGTAAAAATGTATTAAGAGAACCCGATATTTAACTAAAATGAAAAACACAAAAAAGAACAGTACTCTTAGCACGAACCAATATCGAATTCGAATAGTTTTCGAGTGCGAAATGTCATTGTCAATTGTGTACTGATTTTTAGTTCTCGTTACGTACTTTGTGGTGCTGCTGTATAAGTTTCCATACAAAATTTGTCATTGACATTTCACACTCGCAAACTATTCGAATTCGATAATGGTTCATGCTAGGGGTACACCGCTTGAAAATGTATGTGTTTTATTTTCGACTTATTATTTTTACAAATTTCAGCCAAGCGCATTGTAACTGAGTTCAAAAAGAAATGCATCCGTACTACAGTTTGTATATCATTTTATTCTTTTTATCACGTAATAAGACATTCCTTACATTTAAAATGCTATGTTAATTAGTAAAAAATAATCTTTATGATAAACCATTTCGATGGTTATCATAAAATATGACGTATTTTTTTTTTCGAGTTTGTTTCCCAGTTGTAGCAGTCGATTTTAAAAAAATCTGTGAATGCAGTTCTAGTTATTATCAAAAATGAAATGATGTCTTCTTTCAGTAAAATATCCTATCTTTAATATTTAATATACTTTCCCTCCGTGTGAGGTAGCCGTGGGACGCCCTGTTTACTATTACTATAGTCTACACCAGCTATACTCTAAGTGTGTTCCGCGGAACCCTAGGGTTCCGTGATACCTCTGTCGGGGTTCCGCAAGAATTTAGAAATAAAAAAATCAAAACACCTCTCTCTGGTCGCTCCGCGGCTGTGCGGACTCCGCGGCCGCGCGGAGACAAAACGCTATGAATGTTATTTATTTATTTATTTGTATTTGTATAAGCTTGTGTTACATTAGCTGGTACAATATCTCATAAGTTTGGTCTCAACAATTTTATACTTGTACAACGCGTTCGCTCTAAGTTTGCCGGTCTGTGGAATGCGCGTACCCTCCCCCACGTGACAACAAAACTTATAATGTGTCATAGTTTTACCCAAATATCTAACGTACACAATTTTTATTGTTACAATTAAATAAAAAATTTCGAACGTCATACAC